ATATATACCCAGTAATGGGATTGCTGGGCCTAATGGAATTTCTATTTCTTGGTCCTTGAGGAATCGCCACACTATCTTCCACAATGATTGAACTAATTTACAATCCCACCAATGGTGTAAAGTATTTCTGTTTCTTCACATTCTCTCCAGCACCTGTTGTCTCCAGAGTTTTTAATGATCGCCATTTTTTTTTTTTTTTTTTTTTTTTTTTTTTTGAGACGGAGTTTCGCTCTTGTTACCCAGGCTGGAGTGCAATGGCGCGATCTCGGCTCACCACAACCTCCGCCTCCTGGGTTCAGGCAATTCTCCTGCCTCAGCCTCCCGAGTAGCTGGGATTACAGGCACACGCCACCATGCCCAGATAATTGTTTTTATATATTTTTAGTAGAGATGGGGTTTCACCATGTTGACCAGGATGGTCTCGATCTCTTGACCTCGTGATCCACCTGCCTCAGCCTCCCAAAGTGCTGGGATTACAGGCTTGAGCCACCGCGCCCAGCCAATGATCACCATTCTAATTGGTGTGAGATGATACCTCAATGTGGTTTTGATTTGTATTTCTTTAATGACCAGTGATGATGAGCACTTTTTCATATGTTTGTTGACCTCATATATATCTTCTTTTGAAAAATGTCTGTTCGTGTCCTTTACCCACTTTTGAATGGGGTTTCTTTTTTTCTTGTAAATCTTTTTTAGTTCTTTGTAGATTCTGGATATTAGCCCTTTGTCAAATGGGTAGATTGCAAAAATTTTTTCCTATTCTGTTTGTTGCTGGTTCATTCGAATGATTGTTTCTTTTGCTGTACAGAAGGTATGGAGTTGAAGTCGATCCCATTTGTCATTTTGGCTTTTGTTGCCAATGCTTTTGATGTTTTAGTCATGAAGTCCTTGCCTATGCCTATGTCCTAAACAGTTTTTCCTAGGTTTTCTTCTATGATTTTTATGATGTTATATCTTATGTTTAAATCTTTAATACATCTGGAGTAAATTTTAGTGTAAGATGTCAGGAAAGGGTCCAGTTTCTGCTTTCTGCACATGGCTTCCCAACACCATTTATTAAACAGGAAATCCTTTCCCATTGCTTGTTTTTGTTAGGTTTGTCAGAGATCAGATAGTTGTAGATGTGTAGTGTTTCCTTTGAGGCCTCTGTTCTGTTCCATTTGTCTATATCTCTGTTTTGGTACCAGTACCATGCTGTTTTGATTACTGTAGCCTTGTAGTGTAGTTTGAAGTCAGGTAGCATGATGCCTCCATCTTTGTTCTTTTTACTTAGAATTGTCTTGGCTATGCGGCCTCTCTTTTGGTTCCATATGAAGTTTAAGGTGGTTTTTTCCAGTTCTGTGAAGAGAGTCCTAGGTAGCTTGATGGGTATAGCATTGAATCTATAAATTACTTTGGGCAGTATGGCTATTTTCACAATATCAATTCTTCCTAACCATGAGAATGGAATGTTTCTACATCTCTTTGTGTTGTCTCTTATTTCCTTGAGCAGTGGTTTGTAGTTCTCCTTGAAGAGGTTCTTTACATCCTTTGTTAGTTGTATTTCTAGGTATTTTATTCTTTTTGAAACAATTGTGAATGCCAATTCATTCTTGATTTGGCTCTCTTTAAGTCTGTTTTTGGTGTATAGGAATGCTCGTGCTTTCCACACATTGATTTTGTATCCTGAGACTTTGCTGAAGTTGCATATCAGTTTAAGGAGATTTGGGGCTATGAAGGGGTCTTCTAAATATACAATCATGTTATCAGCAAATAGAGACAATTTGACTTCCTTCTTTCTTAATTGAATAACCTTTCTTTCCTTTTCTTGTCTGATTGCTCTGGCTAGAACTTCCAATACTATGTTGAATAGGAGTGGTGAGAGAGGGCAATAAACTAGGTATTCATGGAATGCATCTCAAACTAATAAAAGGTATTTACAAAAACCCACAGACAATATGCTGAGTGAGCAAAAACTAGAACCATTCCCTTTGAAATCTGGCATTAGACAAGAATACAAATCCTGTATTCTTTGTTTATTCTTTAGTATACCTAGTTTATTGAGAGTTTTTAGCATAAAGGACTGTTGAATTTTGTCAAAGGCCTTCTGTGCATCTATTGAGATAATCGTGATTTTTATCTTTGGTTCTGTTTATGTGGTGGATTACGTTTATAGACTTGTGTATATTGAACCAGGATGTGTATATTCATCCCCAGGATGAAGCCTACTTGATTATAATGGGTAAGCTTTTTGATGTGCTGTTATTATCAGTTTGCCAGTATTTTATTGAAGATTTTTGCATCTATGTTCATCATGGACATTGGCCTGAAGTTTTCGTTTCTTCTTGAGTCTCTGCTGAGTTTTGGTATGAGAATGATGTTGGTCTCATAAAATGATTTGCAAAGGATTCCCTCTTTTTGGATTGTTTGGAATAGTTTCAGAAGGAGTGGTACTGGCTTCTCTTTGTATGTCTGGTAGAATTTGGCTGTGAACCCATCTGGACCTGGGCTTTTTTTGATTGATAGGCTATTAATTTCTGCCTATATTTCAGCCTTTGTTATTGGTCTATTCAGGGTTTCAACTTCTTCCTGGTTTAGGCCTTGGAAGGTACAAGTGTCCAGGAATTTATCCATTTCTTCCAGATTTACTGGTTTTTGTGCATAGAGTTGTTTGTAGTAATCTCTTATGATAGTTTGTATTTCTGTGGAATCTGTGGTAATATCCCATTTATCTTTATTTTTATCACATCTATTTGATGATTCTTTCTTTTCTTTTTCATTAACTGGCTAGTGGTCTATTTTGTTGATCTTTTCAAATACCATCTCCTGGATTTATTAATTTTTTGAAGGGTTTTTGTGTGTCTATCTAATTCAGTTCTGCTCTGATCTTAGTTACTTCTTGTCTTCTGCGAGCTTTTGAGTTTTTTATCTTACTTCCCTAACTCTTGCAATTTGATGATAGGGTGTCAATTTTCTATCTTTCCTTGCTTCTCATGTAGACATTTAGTGCTATAAATTTTCCTCTAGACACTGCTTTAAATGTGTCCCAGAGATTCTGTTATGTTGTGTTTTTGTTCTCACTGGTTTCAAATAACATCTTTATTTCAGCCTTCATTTCTTTGTTTATCCAATCGACATTCAAGAGCCAGTTGTTCAGTTTCCATGAAGTTGTGTGGATCTGAGTTATTTTCTTAATCCTGAGTTCTAATTTGATTGCACTGTGGTCTGAGAGACTGTTATAATTTCTGTTCTTTTGAATTTGTTGAGGAGTGATTTACTTCCAATTATGTGGTCAATTTTAGAGAAGGTGTGATGTGGTGCTGAGAAGAATGTATATTCTGTGGATTTGTGGTGGAGAGTTCTGTAAATGTCTATTAGGTATGCTTGATCCAGATCTGAATTCAAGTCCTGGATATCCTTGTTAATGTTCTGTCTTGCTGATCTGAATAATATAAATATTCTTATAATTCTTGTCTGAATTGAAGCGAAAAACATTACTTCATATACTGTTTGATAGTCTGTTATTTCTTCTGTGAAATCCTCTAGGAAGATTAAACATGTAACATTCTTCCTTGCTTTCCTTATAGAAGTAGTTACTGATATAAATGTGTATGTGCATAATTACTGTGTCTTACCATTGTGAGTTTGAGGATATCTTGCTTCCTCTTTTTTTTTTTTTTTTAATTTTTTATTGGATTTTAGGTTTTGGGGTACATGAGCAAAGCATGCAAGACAGTTGCATAGGAACACACATGGCAGTGTGCTTTTCTTTCTTTCTCCCCTTCACCCACATTTGGCATTTCTCGCCAGGCTATCCCTCCCCACCTCCCCCTCCCACTGGCCCTCCCCTTTTCCCCCCAATAGACCCCAGTGTTTAGTACTCCCCTTTCTGTGTCCATGTGTTCTCATTTTTCATCACCCGCCTATGAGTGAGAATATGCGGTGTTTCATTTTCTGTTCTTGTGTCAGTTTGCTGAGGATGACGTTCTCCAGATTCATCCATGTCCCTACAAACGACACAAACTCATCATTTCTGATTGCTGCATAATATTCCATGGTGTATATGTGCCACATTTTTCCAATCCAGTCTATTATCGATGGGCATTTGGGTTAATTCCAGGTCTTTGCTATTGTAAACAGTGCTGCAATGAACATTCGTGTACATGTGTCCTTATAGTAGAATGATTTACAGAATATATACCCAGTAATGGGATTGCTGGGTCAAATGGAATTTCTATTTCTAAGGCCTTGAGGAATCGCCACACTGTCTTCCACAATGGTTGAACTAATTTACACTCCCACCAACAGTGTAAAAGTGTTCCTTTTTCTCCACATCCTCTCCAGCATCTGTTGTCTCCAGATTTTTTAATGATCGCCATTCTAACTGGCATGAGATGGTATCTCAATGTGGTTTTGATTTGCATCTCTCTGATGACCAGTGACGATGAGCATTTTTTCATATGATTGTTGGCCTCATATATGTCTTCTTTCGTAAAGTGTCTGTTCATATCCTTTGCCCACTTTTGAATGGGCTTGTTTGGTTTTTTCCTGTAAATCTGTTTGAGTTCTTTGTAAATTCTGGATATCAGCCCTTTGTCAGATGGGTAAACTGCAAAAATTTTTTCCCATTCTGTTGGTTGCCGATTCACTCTAGTGACTGTTTCTTTTGCCGTGCAGAAGCTGTGGAGTTTCATTAGGTCCCATTTATCTATTTTGGCTTTTGTTGCCAATGCTTCTGGTGTTTTGTTCATGAAGTCCTTGCCTACTCCTGTGTCCTAGATGGTTTTGCCTAGATTTCCTTCTAGGGATTTTATCGTGCCAGGTCTTATGTTTAAGTCTTTAATCCATCTGGATTTGATTTTAGTGTAAGGTGTCAGAAAGGGGTCCAGTTTCTGCTTTCTGCACATGGCTAGCCAGTTTTCCCAACACCATTTGTTAAACAGGGAATCCTTTCCCCATTGCCGCAATTCTTCAGGAAGTATTTGTAATGCAGCTGAATGAAACTTTCTAATTTTTTTCAGGAAGAACTGAACCCCATTACTGTTACGCCACCGATAGAAGCCATTGATCAGGACCGGAATATTCAACCGCCATCAGATAGGCCAGGAATCCTCTATTCTATCCTTGTCGGTTTGTATTTGCTTACATTTTACACTATCAGTTATCATTTTAGAATCTTTTAGAAACAAATTCTCTCAATTCCAATAAAGTATTTTAAATAACAAAGATTTTTATTATTTGACATGATTGTTACTTTTGTGTATAAACAAATTTTGAAATAATAATTCAAGGTATTTTCTTCCTCGGTTGGTTTGATTGTAATGTGCAGAATGATAAATGAATAACTTTTATGGAAGTGGCAAAGCAATTCAAAATATTAGGATATTAACCTGTATATTGTTAACATCCTAATATTTTGAATAATATCCAATTTTTTTCTACATATCAACTTATCATATAAAGCATTCTCTAGTACAAAATTTTAATATAAAATGAAAAACATTCTACTTATATTCTATCTTTGGTTGGATACTATACATAATTCTGATAATATATGACTGAATTTAAAAAGAGCTATTTTGGAGCCATGTGAAAAAAAGGTGCAAGGTCATGATTAGCCCAAAGGAACATGATACATTAACCTTTGGCAAATACTGCTCATGGAAAATTCCGCAGAAGCTGTCCTAATCCTTCCCTAAGTATATGCTACTAATGGAACCCAAAGCAAAAATGATGAGAAATTGATTTCACTGCTCTTCTTAGATTGCTTTTGCCAAAATATGAATATTGCTGATTTGTGTAGCCTCTAGACAGACAGATACATGTGAGACAGGCTATATATCTTTTAAGGAAGAAAGGGACCCTTTTGAAATGTGCTTGAAAAATAACATTAATGGAGTTCAGCATTAGCTCTCAACCCTATTCTGTCCTTTTACTTGAAGACTATGTGCATACACACACATACACAACAACCAACGGATATGAGATTTGAAAATATTACACTATATCCTTAGAATAGCTATCTGTAAAGAAAATTCAAAGCAATTCTGTTTCAAGCCTTTGGTCTTTAAAGGGACATAAATATCATAAGCCAATTGCAGAGATCAGACTATTAATTTGTAAAAAGCTTTCATAAACATAAACTAGATGCTAAAGACACAAACATGAGAGATGAGTGTTCTAGGTTAGTCACATGGAGTCTGTGGCTAAAAAGAAAATCAAAAAATAAATTAAAATACATCACTTAAGGAACTATAAATAAAGTTTGAACCACATGTGGGCTCATGGGAGGAGAGCATTAAGCATTTTAAGAGAATTGCTTAGGAAGAGTCATTTTAGCAGAAAGATGGGTGTTTCCAGGTAGAAAAAGAGATTATCTCTATAGATAAGCAACATATGTAAAAGCCAAAGGATGAAACTTAAGAATAGACTTGGAGAACCATGATACTCAGAGCTGGTTGGATGCATCTGTTCAAGTTTATTTCACTTTTAAAATATATGTGCATTCTTCTTTTTTTAACAAATGAGCACCCTGAGCACCTTCACTGTGAAGTAAGATGTATCACTGACTTTGTGGAGCCAGTTTTCTGACAATAGAGATAGGCAATAAATAATTACTATAAAAAGTGTTTATTATCAAAGGTAGAAAGTTGTGAATGCTATGGGAAAAATTGATCTTATGATGTGATTGGAAGAGCAGAGGAAGATTGTATTAGAAGTTTCAGTATTAAGTAGAATCATCAGCCCTTGTGTCATCAAAAGGTAAGCCATTAACAAATGATTACAGAGGCTCAGGAAGTTATTCAGGTTAATATCTCCAGGGAGAGTTTCTAGACGGAGATGAAAGCTGAAGCTTTCCAGGTGGGTTTTAGAAATAACAAGGGGGCCAGAAGCATTGGAGAGAAGTGAGTGAGGTTAAATAAAAAGTTAATGGGTAAGAGGGCAGAAATTTGAGAGCCTTGTATGTTATTTATCTACTTTGTATTTTTCTCAGAGTGAAATAAGAAGCCAGTGCAAGAATTTAACAGAATAGTGACACAATGATGGAATGTTTCATTGGCTTACAACTATAGAATAATGGATAGTCCCAAACAATGGATAGAAACTTTTACAATTATTTGCTCTTATACCTAAGTTAAATGAATAATATCCTTTTACCTTATTTTTGTTTTTAGAAGGAAGAGAGTTGTAGCGATTGAGAGTATAGACTCTGAAAATTGTACTACCCATGTTAAAAATCCTGACTTTAATTCATACCAGGCATATAATTTTAGGTCAGTTATTTAGCCTCTTTACCTGAAATTAGTCCTTTTTTTTTTCTTTTGAGACAGCATCTTGCTCTGTCACCCAGGTTGGAGTACAGTGGCACAATCATAGCTCACTGCAGCTTTGACCTCTTGGGGTTTAGCGATCCTCCCACCTTGGGCTTCCAAAGTGCCAGGATTACAGGTGTGAGCCACCACGTAACCAGATTTTTTTTTTTTTTTTTTTTTTGAGACGGAGTTTCGCTCTTGTTACCCAGGCTGGAGTGCAATGGCGTGATCTCGGCTCACCGCAACCTCCGCCTCCTGGGTTCAGGCAATTCTCCGGCCTCAGCCTCCCGTGCAGCTGGGATTACAGGCACGTGCCACCATGCCCAGCTAATTTTTTTGTATTTTTAGTAGAGACGGGGTTTCACCATGTTGACCAGGATGGTCTCGATCTTTTGACCTCGTGATCCACCCGCCTCAGCATCCCAAAGTGTAACCAGATTTTTTATATTTAATATGGGATTTTTAAAAAATAGATCTTTGTATAAAACAGTTGTGAGAATTTGCTCCAATACATTGCAAATGCACATAATACTGCCTGGAGAAAAAGTTGATGCTCAATACATGTTTGCTGACATTGCTGTTACCATTAGGAGGAAAAGAAAGGCATGCTACCTAAGTCACATCAGTCTGGTACAAATGGAAACACACACACACACACACACACAAAACAAACACAACAAAATAGATACACACAAACACACACACAGAAAAGGATATCCATGATTAACTTCATGGACTTTGTCAAAACTCTTAATTTCCCTTAAATTCATCCAAGTGGTTCTGAATATATGTGTTTCTCCAAGCTAACATAAGTAATTGTGTGGAGGGCTCCTCTCCTGCTTTCATTTGTCATAGACAGTCTCTCTTTATGGTATATGAGGATATGGATGCTGATGTCTATGACAGGGCCATCCAAGGGCTGTGGTCAGCCTCTTGATGGGTCCTACTGCCATGACCATCAATGGTAGAATTATTGACTATCCAAAAGTCTTTAAAGGAAACACTAGACAATGATGTTCATACGGGGTTTAAAAAGCTTTAACAAATTTCTGGGAAACTAGAAAGACAAGAGCAAGTTGTATATACGCTCAGGAAACACTTGGAAAGGCCCTAAGCTCTGTTCTCTGGCTGACCTTGCGACTCTGCACATGCAGTAAGTAAAAGCCAAGATGGAACAACACCATAAAGCAGCTAGACATAAAAGATATCTATGGAACACTCTACCCGCCAACTGTGGATTATGCGTTCTTCTCAAGTGCACCTGGAATGTTCTTCAGTATAGATCATCCTAGGCCATAAAACGAATATTGTTAAATTGAAAAGGATTAAAGTAATACAAACTCCATTCTTAACAACAATAGAATGAAATTAGAAATTAATAATGAATGAAATTTTGGAAATTCACAACTGTGTGGAAATAAAACAACATTCTTAAATAATGACTCAAAGAATAACAATTATAAAAATTCTTAGAGACAAATAAAAATACATTGTAACATGTATTTTAATCTCTAATCAGCAATATAAGCTTTGTCACAAAGACACTGGAAAAGTTTGAGCAAACTAAAGAAAAAGAGCAGAAGGGAGGCCAAGCATGGTGCCTGACACTTGTAATGCCAACATTTTGTGAAGCTGATGCAGGTGAATTCCTTGAGCCCCAGAGTTTGAAATCAGCCTGAACAATATGAAAAAAACCCATCTCTATAAAAAACAGAAAAAATAGCTGGGCATGGTGATGTGTACCTGTGGTCTCAACTACTCAGGATACTAAGGTGGGAGAATCACCTGGGTCCAGGAGGAATTCAAGGCTGCGGGGCTGCAGTGAGCCATGATCGCACCACTTCATTCCAGCATGGGTGGTGGAGATTGGAGATGACCCTCTTTAAAAAAAAAAAAAAAAAAAAAAAAAAAAAAAAAGCTAAACAACACAGTAGAAATAGTAGAGACCATAGTGAAAATTAATAAAAGAAGGATTAAAAAAACAAAATGAATCCAACAGTTAATTCTTTGAAATTACCAACAAAATTGATAAACCTCTAGCTAGCCTGACCAGGAATAAAAGAGATAAGATGCAGTTTACTAACTTTGAATGAAAGAGAGGAACTTCTACTTAGCTCACAGAAATAAAAAAAAAAGTTATAAGAGAATATTATATAAAGTCTATGCCAAATAGACAAACTAGATGCAATGGACAAATTCTTAGAGTCAAACTATTCAAAGTGACTTCAGAAAAAAATAGAATATCTAGGCAGACTTAAAATAAGAAAATAGATGGATGTAATAATAAAAAAAATTCTTCCCACAAAGAATAATTCTAGATCAGATGCTTTACTGGTAAATTCTACCAATCTTTTAGAGAATATTTAATACCCATTCTGTATTAGTACATTCTTGCACTGCTGTAAAGAACTACCTGTGACTGGGTAATTTATACAAAAAAAAAATATGTTCACGTGGCTCACAGTTCTACAGACTGTATAAGCAGAATGGCTTCAGAAGCCTCCGGGAACTTTCAATCATGGCAGAAGTCAAAGTTGGTGCATTTTACACACCTGAGCAGGAAAAAGAAGGGAGAGCTGCTACATACTTTTAAACAACCAGATTTTGTGAGAACTCACTCACTGTCACCAGAAAAGCAAGGGGGATATCTGCCCCCATGAATCAATCACCACCCACCAAGTCCTTCCTCCTACATTGGAGACTACAATTTAACATGAGATTTTGGCAGGGACAAAAATACAAACTATATCATTAAACCTCTGGCCCCTCTGAAATCTCATGTTCTTCTCACATTGAAAAATACAATCATCCTTTCTC